CAGTGGCAACAGTGGCAAGAGTGGCAACCATCTTTCGTGGCCCCAGACGGGTGATCAGCTAGAAAGTTTTTGGGCCCAAACTTGGGCCAACTGAGTCCTGTGCTCGTGGAAACGCCGCGTATCTAGGTCTCCCAGTAGTGCCCTTTCACCTTTTTGGGGGGGAGGGCCCCCCATTACTAAAATAGACTACGGAAAAAAGGGTACCCGTATTTTCACCTCGCCACTGGAGGACCTAGTTCAAATGAGACGAACAAACATCGCCTTTCGGCAGGTGGCGGGAGCAACACAGCCGCACTGGATCCAAAGGGGGGGGTTTCTGTCCCATTGACTTCCATTGGCGTAAGAATATGTTTTTGTTTCTTTTCAGGGTTTCGCCTGTTGATGCCAAAGGGCACCTATGACTATTGTCTTGTCCAGTGCACTCAAGCAAATCACTGGGTGCTAAGCAGCATTTCCCTTTTTAGTTCCCCTAAAGGAAGCCAAAAGAGGATGCACAACCCAAGTGCGGGATATTTCGGGTACCTCCCCCATGCCAACTCAATATTGCATGTAAAGGGACGGAGGAAATCCCCTTTACCGTGCGAAAGTAATCCATGTTTTTTGTGGTTGAGTGTGGTTGGTTTACTTGCAGTACTGTCGACGAACGAAATCCACCAATTGACAGTTGGTATGTCCAATTGTTTATAGGGCTTCACTCTTTCCAAGTCGATTCGGATTTCGGCCATCCACATGGCAGGGACATCCGTGCCAGGATCGATCAAAGTAGCCATGCAAAAGGGGGTTCTAGCCTCGCAATGCCCAAGCCCAAAGATGTCATGACTCTCCTTGTGCCGAAGCTGAATGAAACATGACGTTTTTGTCCATCCCTGGACAGGCCAATTGGAAGTATGTGTTCCCTTCAAGGTAGCACATCAAACTCGAGGTGGACCACGCATTGTCAAATAAATATATTTCAAAAAGCCCCCCACCCACCCCCCACCCACCCGAAAACATGGCCTACAGGCTCCACTTCAGTTGGATGGAGATTTGCACGAGATGTTCGCGGTTCAAAGGGCGATTCGCTTCAGAGGATTCGCTGAAAACGAATCGACCTTGATCTGACCTTTTCGCTTTCCATGTCTCAACTTTCAACCACTCCCTGAGCTCATGTTGACTTGAGTCACTTCTCGGATTTGGACCATTTTAGTCGCAAAGCAGTTTGCCCTTGAGTAACTTGTTGGATTTGGACCATTTTAGTCGCAAGTAAGTTTCGGCTTTCTTTTGCCCTTGAGTCACTTCTCGGATTTGGACCATTTTAGTCGCAAAGCAGTTTCGACTTTCTTTTGCTCTTGAGTAACTTTTTGGATTTGGACCATTTTAGTCGCAAGTAAGTTTCGGCTTTCTTTTGCCCTTGAGTCACTTCTTGGATTTGGACCATTTTAGTCGCAAAGCAGTTTCGACTTTCTTTTGCCCTTGAGTAACTTTTTGGATTTGGACCATTTTAGTCGCAAGTAAGTGTCCTTCTTTCTTTTGCCCTTGAGTCACTTCTCGGATTTGGACCATTTTAGTCGCAAGGCAGTTTCGACTTTCTTTTGCCCTTGAGTAAGTTTTTGGATTTGGACCACTTGAGTCGCAAGTAAGTTTCGGCTTTCTTTTGCCCTTGAGTCACTTCTCGGATTTGGACCATTTTAGTCGCAAAGCAGTTTCGACTTTCTTTTGCCCTTGAGTAACTTGTTGGATTTGGACCATTTTAGTCGCAAGTAAGTTCGGCTTTCTTTTGCCCTTGAGTCACTTCTCGGATTTGGACCATTTTAGTCGCAAAGCAGTTTCGACTTTCTTTTGCCCTTGAGTAACTTTTTGGATTTGGACCATTTTAGTCGCAAGTAAGAGTCACTTCTCCATTTTAGTCGCAAAGCAGTTTCGACTTTCTTTTGCCCTTGAGTAACTTTTGGATTTGGACCATTTTAGTCGCAAGTAAGTTTCGGCTTTCTTTTGCCCTTGAGTCACTTCTCGGATTTGGACCATTTTAGTCGCAAAGCAGTTTCGACTTTCTTTTGCCCTTGAGTAACTTGTTGGATTTGGACCATTTTAGTCGCAAGTAAGTTGCGGCTTTCTTTTGCCCTTGAGTCACTTCTCGGATTTGGACCATTTTAGTCGCAAAGCAGTTTTGACTTTCTTTTGCCCTTGAGTAACTTGTTGGATTTGGACCATTTTTGTCGCAAGTAAGTTTCGGCTTGCTTTTGCCCTTGAGTCACTTCTCGGATTTGGACCATTTTAGTCGCAAAGCAGTTTCGACTTTCTTTTGCCCTTGAGTAACTTGTTGGATTTGGACCATTTTAGTCGCAAGTAAGTTTCGGCTTTCTTTTGCCCTTGAGTCACTTCTCGGATTTGGACCACTTTAGTCGCAAAACAGTTTCGACTTGATTTGCCCTTGAGTCACTTTTTGGATTTGGACCAGTTTAGTCGCAAAGCAGTTTCGACTTTCTTTTGCCCTTGAGTCACTTTTTGGATTTTGACCAGTTTAGTCACAAAACAGTTTCGACTTGTTTTGCCCTTGAGTCACTTTTTGGATTTGGACTGGTTTAGTCGCAAAGCAGTTTCAACTTTCTTTTGCCCTTGAGTCACTTCTCGGATTTGGACCATTTCAGTCGCAAGTAAGTTTCGGCTTGTTTTGCCCTTGAGTCGCTTTTTGGATGTGGACCATTTTAGTCGCAAAGCAGTTTCGGCTTTCTTTTGCCCTTGAGTCACTTCTCGGATTTGGACCATTTTAGTCGCAAGTAAGTTTTCGGCTTGTTTTGCCCTTGAGTCACTTTTTGGATTTGCACCATTTTAGTCGCAAAGCAGTTTCGACTTTCTTTTGCCCTTGAGTCACTTCTCGGATTTGGACCACTTTAGTCGCAAGTAAGTTTCGGCGTTTTTTTTGCCCTTGAGTCACTTTTTGCATTTTGACCATTTTGGTGGTTTGGCCAGTCCACCCAATATCGGTGAGGACGGCTTTTAGATACTTTGCGCATGTCTGGGACCAGCGTTCGCGCCCAGGCACTGAGAAAGCATCTCACCGGTCAATGTCTCACTGTGAGCCGATGGCCGGCGCCAAATCACTCAGACACGTCAAGCAAAATTATTGAGACAACTCCCGGGGATTTTTTTTTGGAATCCACAGGTCGCCAGTCACCAAAGGTCCCAAATAGACAAATCCCCGGGATTTGCCTTAGGAATCCACATTAGGTCGCCGGTCACCAAAGCTACGGTCCCAAGTGCGTTTGCCAACAGAGGCGTTTCGTCTGGATTTTTAGGGCTCGAGACGCCCTGGAATTCTAGGCGAACACATGGACACCCTTGGCGGAAATGCGACGTGGCTTGGGATTTTGGCCCGGAAAAGCATCGGAAGTCAGCCCCAAGTGCTGGCCGGCCGAATCACGCTTGCACTGCGCTTTCTGTAGGCCTCGGTTTGTACTAATAATTGGGTGCTAAACAGCCAATCTTTGGAAAAGAAACCCAGGATGCGCATGTTTCAGTTGCTCCACCCAATCTTTCGCACCCAGTGTTCTTTGTTGCATGCTTGGATCTCTTGATTCGGTGTTTGCCCGTTGGTTTTAACAGGAAATGACCATGACATGCGAGTTTCGCGGAGAGCCAAAAGAGATGTTTGTACCTTAGGGCAATCTCCTGGGTTCAAATTCCTCCACAGCTGTGCGTGTGTGTGTGTGTGTGTCACGCATACCTTGTTTTTTACCAGGGACGTGTTCTTTTGATTTTGCCCCTTCCCCACATGTCTAAGTCACATCCCTCGTCTTTTTGCTAACCTCCCTGCAGTTGAAAGGGAGGAACTGACCATGGCCGGTGAACTTGGAACTTTGGACACCCAGAAATGAACGCTTTTTGATTCCCGGGTGGGGGAAGTGTATCTAAAAAACAAAAAAACATGCCTCGCAGGGCCCGGAGACCCCCAGACACGAGACAGGGGCCAAGCGAGCCCTACCCGAAAACTGCGGGAGTCAAGCGCTGCATGAGTCAATTCGCTGGGAGAATGCCAGCGCTTCTGCGAACACGGCGCAGAAAAGGTCGGAGCCCGAGCTCATCCGAAGTCGTCCAAACTTGAGCGTTTCGCTTCTTTGGGGGATGGGGCAACTCAATACCAAACCCATGGCTGGGCTTGTGTGACCCTTGATACCCGCCCCAGTGTCAGGTTGTCCCGCCGGAGTGACAAAACACTCCAAAAGAGGGCCACCATTTTGTCCACCCCCCATGTCCCAGCCCCTTAGTTGTTGTCGTTTGTTTAGAGTGGGTGTCCCTTGGGAATCGAGCAGAGAAAAGAGCGCCATTTTCCCATAGCCACTTGGGGTCTGGAATGCTACTGCGTGAATGTCGCAAGAAACAAGTAGTTGAGTGCGAAAATTCGCCTAACATGTCTCTCGCTTTCCTCAAAGCCACGAACAAATTGCCAGGTCACATTTGTCCAGACCACCTCTTCGAAAAAACACCCAGGCCCTTACGGAGACCCGTTCACAAACCACGAGCCAACCAGCCGTGGCGTGTGCGAAAGTGCTCGATGTCCGCGCAGCTTCGAGTCCAAAGGCAGAATTCATGGCACGAAAGTCAGAGAGGGCCGTCCTTCTACGACTCTGAGAGTGGCGGGTTCGAAAATCGGCGCCTTCTCCTTAAGGCCATTCAAAGGGAACACGGTCGGCATGCAGCGTAAAGCCGGGAAGGCAACAAAGCTAAGCTCGGCCAATCCCCGCGCACTCCAAAGGCAGTTCTCGTTGGAAGGGAGCAGTTTCAGAGCTGGGAATGTCGAAACATGTTTGCCTTTTCAAGGCGCGGAGCTACCGATCGGAGTTCTGCATGCACATGGTTCTTGAAGCCCCTTCCAAATTGCTGAACTCAGAAAGCTACAAAATGGGCAAGCAAACAGCGGCTCACCAGGTCCGTTAGTAGTGCCCTTTTACCCTTTCTTGGGGGAGGGTCCCCCTACTAAAATAAACCAGGAAAACAGGTACCCTCATTCTAACCTCTCTACTGGAGGACCTAGTCTAGTTCGAAACAACTCCACGCTGATTTTGGCGCGCGGGGATGTCGCAGGACTGGGTCAGAAAAATCGGGGGAGGAGAGGGGGGGGGGGGGGGTCCGTCCTGAGTATGTGCACTTTAAGGGGGCAGTTCTAGCCCACGAATCATGATTATAAGTCTCCTAAGTGGGTTATAGCCCGTCTTACCAACCACTTACTAAGTAATTACCCTGCCCCTCGATTGGCACTGTTTTAATCAAGGGCCTTTGTAAGCGTAGGGGTTTAAAAATTTAGAGGTGTGCGGAGTATACTGAGTGTACCTCTCACGTATGGTTGATTTACCTGGTTGAAACGCTGCAAGTTGTCCAGCCCGTGAGTTTGATTCAGCTGCTTCGCGAATCCGGCACCTGTTGTTGCAGCATCCCTTGGATGGGGAAGCTCACAAATGAACCCACTTCCCTTCGCCAGGGCAACGCAACGTCCAAAGCACCAGACCAAACCACCAACTTTCGGGTGAAGCTCCGAAAAGCCCGCACTGGGTTAAGCCAGCGGTGCTTATTTGGGTGAAGACCGCCCATTCCAACGTCCGACTTTCGGAAAGTTTACAGGCGGCTTGTGCGCGGAAACAGTGCCCACATCGTCATCATCATCATCATCATCATCATCATCATCATCATCATCATCATCATCATCATCATCATCATCATCATCATCATCATCATCATCATCAGTGTCTTTCAGAATTGCCACACGCCCTTGTTCAGTATAGTGTGTTAGTTCTGTTTCAAGGCTCCAAAGGAAGGATCTGATAGGAGGAACAACCCACTTACAGACTGAACCCACCACTACTTAGATCGTTTTACGAGGAACCGGATCCCAGAACCCAACATATACTCCCCCGCAAATTAACATGGAAACCCAAACCTACTAAGGGTTGCGTTTGGGGTTTGAATCTGCAGGATATTTTGTTTTTTTGAACGGGGACCCACCAAAATCTGGCGGGTTTCCTGTTGGCTTCCCTTTATAACCAGGAAAAGACGTCCGGAACCCTGCCTGAAAGCGGCCCCAAACCACCCCTTTTCGCCCATCTGGGCCGATGCAGCTCACTCATCTTTTGTGGTTTCAAGGGGAAAACCAACAGGAAGACCGCCATTCGAGGGGGTCCCCTCGGAAGGGAAAAAAGAGAAAGTACCGATTTGTTCGGCTGAATTTCAAGGTCCCACTGACTTCAGGAGGCCGCGGTGCTCCTCATACATCGCGCGGGCGCCTCATCCAGCGCAAGGAGCCGCGAGAATTCTGGCGAGCGGCTCCACCGATCCGAGAGCATAAAGAGCGAGAGCCACGAAAAGGGCATTCACTTGGGGATCCAATTCTTTCAGCATTTGGAATTATTGTACAAAAAATGCGGGGATCCAATTCTTTCTGAATTCAGCTTTTGGAATTGTCGTAAGATGTGCGGAATCCTTGGTCTCGCTCCATGGTCCATGGGCTCGCCCTGAGGTTCAACCCCCATTTAAAGAATGGCAAGGGCCCAATTTGGATGAAGAGAAGCATAAGCTGAATATTGGTGGTCGGATTAACCCCCAGTGTGTTCATGGTGGTTAGAGCCCAGACGATTCCATGGAAGCTTCCGGGACCCTTTGGAAGACTGGGTTCCATTAACTGAGGCCATTCGGGGAGCTAACCCATGTTAGTTTGCGGGAGTGTAGTCGCTTTTTGGGGTTGGGAAAGTGATCTGTTTGGAAGTTCCTCTCGAATCAACAGAAAAGGGGTACCTTTTTGAGTGGTTTTGCCTATCAAGTCACTTCTCAAAAAGATTTGGTGGGGAGGGGTGGGGGTCCGCTTTTTAGGAGGGGTTCTTCCTCAAGAATGGAAAGGTGCCTTTTCCCCGAGTTCTGAGATGCGAAATGGCCAGCCTTCTTACGGCAGACAGGTGCAAGCTGGCACATGTGTGGAGTTGCACGCTTGGCCCCGGCGAGGTGTCAAACCAGTTGGGCTACTCCTCGCAAGAGGCCGAAGCCTTCGTGTGTGCCTTGCACCAGTGCGCCGAACCAAGCCTCCCGAAAACGAGAAACGTTTGGTATCATCTCATTCCTCCAATTCCTGGACTTGGGACTGGTTATTCCTCGAATTCCTGGAGTTCATTTTAGCAACTAAGGTTTGGACTTGTTTGACCAATCCACTCAGGAAGTGAGTAGTGGTACGAAATTGAGGTCTTGGCACATGTTTGATTGTTTTTGCATGACTAGGGTAGAGTAGTCAAAACGGTTGTCGCATTTGCTGACTACAGTCGAAGCAAAGATGTATACTTTTTTTTGACAGGGCCTAATCCACTCATGAGAGGTTCAGTAGTCCTTGGTCAGTTTGGTCAGTTTGGGAGTGACTGAGCAAGACTCCGCGGTCCACTGGAGAATTTGGTCAAAGTCAATGAAACCTGGGCCCCAAAAGCTCGGTTCTGTTAGGTGCCGAAGAGGTAAAGCAAATCAGTTGGACCTGCATTCTGAGAAACACCTGTTTGGCAAATTCATCGGATTGAATTGCCAATGATTTGGGAAACATTTCCCTTGCAACCAACCCCAAAAAATGATACCCTCAAAAACGCACAGACCCATTTGGGCTTGTTTCATCCTTTCAGCCAACAACAGTTTTGCTTGGTCAAAGCGATCCAGGTTTTCGTTGCCATGGTGAGATTCAGATGAAAATCCGAATCTTGCACCCCTTGGTCAGATAAGACGAAGGTGTTTCAGGCTCGGCTTTGAACCTTGCAATGGCAAGCTTGAAGTCGGTGTCCTTCAGGAAACGCCCGTTGGCACCAGCAGCATCAGCCGCCTTCGGACCGCTCGCATGCATGAATGCCCGGCACCCAACTACTGAGCCTGCATCCTGAGCATCGCCTGCATCATTGGCATCTTTTTTGCATCGGCCGATACGTCCGCCGAAACCAGCAAAGCCCAGACTGGCCCGCATCATCCACATGAACGCCAGGCAACATTTCATGGGGATTTCACGCTGAGCCCACCCCGGAAGTGCCGGCAAATCTGAGACCCTTCACATCAACAGCGCCCCATCGCCCTGGCATCCTCGCTCGCATTTGATGAACCAGTGGCAGTTTTCCAGGTTTGGCAGACACGGGCGGCGTGGGCTGCGCCCGGAGTTCGCACCCGAGAGGTACCCCAGCTGCGAGTCCCTGGGCGAACTCACGGACGAGGAGGCGAAGCAGCTCTCTCTGCTGGGACGTCAAGCGAACCCGCGGTGTGTCGAGCGGAGCCAGGCGCTGCCCTAAACGTTTGTTTGGCCAGAGTTGCCAAGGGATCCCCTTAAAGGAAACCGCTAAGAATAATTGTAGGTGTCATTTCCGGATTTCAGCAGGAACCAACGAGTAAATGAGTCAAACAAATGTCCACAAGCTTAATTACGAATCGCCGCACACAACAAGCTCACCGATGAAGATCGTACGGGAGGAGTCCTATGGGTCGCTGCGAGCCTCCCCTCCGGCGAAGGTTCCAAATGCAAAACCCCTCTACGTGTCATATGAAACTCTGGCGTAAACCCCTGGCTCGGGTCATGTGCCAGTAAGTAAAGTGAGATTTGCTTTTTTAGTTGGGGACGCTTTTGTAGAATCTTGTTTTTTCTAAGTCAGAATCCTGTGACTGTTGCGGGGTCCGCTTCAATAGAAAGATGTTCTGATGTTTGTATGGGTGAGACGTTGCGATTCGGCCCAAATTTGCGTGCTTCATACATGCCGTGGGGATTAGTCAACGCAAATGTCTGGGTTGGCCGAATCGAATTTTATCGACAACCACAAAAGAGCTTTCCGTACTTTTGGAGACAGGGAGTTCTTTGTTAGGAGTAACCTGACATCTTACTCCCTGAGTTCCTGGACCTACTCTTTGGGAAGACCATTTCAGTGGCAAACAAACAGATTCTCAAATGAACTCGGGAAGCGAATGAGACACCTCGGGAATCCAGGGCTTCCAAAGGGCGCCTAAGCGGCTTGCACGATCGAAGCCACCAGAACCATCGATCGAACGGCCGTTTCCGGAAGCATTTTGACGGCTGGGACCTCGTTTGCCAAGTGCACAACTGGAATTTGGGGTGTGGCTAAGGGGCCCGGCGTCCAGCCTTCCAGAAGATTGTGTTGTTTTCCCATGTCAAAAGGAAGCGATTTCAGATTTCACCACTGGGAAAAATGTGGTTTCCTCTTTTTTATTCAGGGGGCACGATTATTCAAAACAAGGAAACGAATGGCGGCAAAGGAATCGATTTCACTACTGGCAAAGTCTGTGTCTCCTATGCTTTACCGGGCTGAAGCAGGCAAATGCCAGGCATTTGGTTTCCTCAGCGGTCACCCGGAGACTCGGAGACTCGCAAGAACGGGGCGCTCTGAGGCCTCAGCTCCTGGTGCGCACCTTGCGCTGCGAAGTGAAGCAACCGCCGGTCTGCCTGGATCGGTTCGCTGTCCACAGGGCACACGGCAAGGCATCCCTTGGCCCAACTCACAAAGTGAGATTCGCGCAGCACGGCGGCAGGTCCATCGGGACCCATTTTTGGGCTGCAGTTTGGATGGCACTGGGAGTCTCCCAACTTTGTATTGACATAAAAAGAAAAGCCGCCTTGGGAGCATGGGAAAATGCAGCCTTAAACGGCGGAAGGGGAAAGGGAGGGGGCGGGTTTGGGGGTTCGAGTTCGGATTGCCACTTTGAAGGTGTTGAAATCGTCATCAGGCCTCGGGAAGTTGGTTTCATCACTGTCTCCCACAATTCCCCTGGACGACTTTTAACCACAGCGATTTGCGCACTGGCCCCTTTGGCGTCAAGCTGCCAAACCAGCCTCTCATGTTACGCACGCGGCTTTGCCGGATGGGTTCAGGAGATTCCTTCTGTATGGAACCAGGTGCTTGGGGCAAGTGAGTTGATCGCCATGCAACTCAGGGCCTCCAGCCACTGGGACTTTGCTTAGAACGAAGACAACCGCCCCTTTCTGGCAACCCGACCATTTAGATCACACCTTGGGTGGGTTGATGAAAATTATTTTGGAATGGCCAAGTTTCAATCTCTGTGAAAGATCGTGGCTAATCCGAGGGATTTCGGTGTGAAGGTCTTCCGGGGGATTTCTCACCTCAGCTCCAAACAACCTGAAAAATGCTCAAGACGTTTGACCCCGATCTCGGCTTTGACTCGCAGGCGATGCGCGCCTGCGCCATTTCAGGCGACCCCAAACGCAGTCAAGGCGCGGCACTGGCGAGTCACTCCGTGGGAAGTCGGGCAAAAAAAGTTCGGCCGACGCCGAATCTGCGTACCCCGTGCGCGGGTTGGAAGGACATCAGCCGCTTTGGTTTCGATGGGGATTTGGAACGGACCCAAAGCATCCAAGCTAAGCACTTGGCGGAAGGTGGTTCAAGGGAAAATATGGAAACCGCACATGGGCGGCTCGCGATTTTTTGCCCCCCCCCACCCACATTTCTGTTTTGAACCGCGCAAAGAGGGATTCCATAAAAAAGAAGACACACCTTGAAATTCGCCTTTGGACACATAATCACCTGGGGTTACATGTTCAAAGCAGATCGCACAATTCCAACCCATTTTGGTTTGGCTACCCCTGTCCCCTGCCATCTGATTTCACCCAGGTGTAGTAGGGGTCCAAAATCAGTCTCAAATTTATAAAGCCGATTTGGAAAAATTGCGTTCTTGCAATTCAGGCTCCCGAAAACACCCCATACGCTTGCTTGCTTGTGTTGTATCTCGGAGCCATGTGGAAACTTGCGGAAGTAACCTGCAGACTTTAGCTTCCTGCATCCCGCGGCCCAGATTTCCGTGGCACCCCCTCCACTTAAAAGCACCCACGTCAGCCCCGCCTTTGATTATCGGACCAGAACCGAAACATCCAGTTTCCACTGGGGGCCAAAGCCAGCTAGCATCTAAGAAAGAAAAACAAAGCAAACCAACCACAGCCACGGCCCCTTCCGACTATGGAACCTTAGGCGTGTCTTCCAAAGTACCTTTCGAACCCCTCCGTTAGCTCGCCTTTCACCATCTAAAGGGGATCCTTTCGATGTGTGTCCCAAAACGCACGCGAATGCCTCGATCACCCTGAGGCTGCTTACGTTGTTGACCTGAGGGCTTGCACCATCCCCAAAGGGGTGCGCGGCGGAATACAAGGGCATCTTCAGGCGTTTGGAGCCGTGGGCGGCATATGGCAGCATAGGAAAGTGGCGTTTCTCCTTCCAAAACCTCCCCATTTGGACATCCTTAATCTCCACACTTTGAAACCATGGTTGAAACCATTTTTGCATGGTATGTACAGGGTTCCGAATCATGAACCAGGGTTTCTGAACGGTTCGAAATGGTTTTTGTCAAGTATCACCTGGAGCCAATGTGAAACTGGCAAGGGAGAGAAAAAAAGCAAATCCTAGTTTCCTTGATTGCTATTGGGTTGGATCTTTAAACTTGACCTTTTCCGGAGATCAAAGGTTCTCCATCAAACCCACAAAAGGTTAGCAACTTGTTGCAGAGGGGTCTCGCCAACCGATGTTTCGGAACTACCGAGTTGCAACGCTGAATCTGGGCAGCGGCTCGCAGGTGGATAGATCTGGCTGGCGCATGCACGAGGCACTGGAACACAAGGGGATTGGAGTTCCCGACTTTGGAGCTTCGGGTGATAGAAATCGGTGGGTTGTGTGGGATTCCTTCCGTGAATCACGGGAATAGATCATTTGGTGCTGGGGGGGTTCCATGCGAAGAATGTAGGGGAATAAATCATTAGAGTGGCAAAGAACAAAGAATGATTGGTTTTTATCGCCAATCCACTCAAAAAGTGTCGAGTGCCTTAGATAGTTCCCTTCTTGATCCTTGCCCTGAGATGTGGCTTGTCAAAGTTGCATTGAACCTGGATGGCTTTTGTTCGCACACTTCTTTTTTTTCCGCAAGGGAAACCAAACCGGATAGAGACGGGTTCATCAATGTTCCGTTCGGCCCCCAACTGACCATGGCTTTCTTTTTTCCCGTTGAGTGGGAGAGAACTAAAAAGTTAGGTCCAGGGTCATTTGGGGTTTTTTTCAGGGTGGTTCCCCATCATTTTTAGCCAGGGTCATTTGGGGGTTTTCCAGGGTGGTTCCGCATCATTTTTTGGTGGTTCCCCCCAACCGTTCCATGTTCATCAGGCCTGTTGATCCACCCCCATGGTTCTGCGCCAGGTGCTGCCGGCCGCCGGCCCGAAGCTCGGAAAACGCGCGCGGGAAATCGGTTGCACCTGGACATAAAAACGGGCAACCAAAAGCCGGTTGGGTCGGTGGCACCAAGTCGGTTTGCCTCTGTGGCTTCCCCCACAAATCAGTTGTTCACAGATGGCCTTTTCAACCCTTTGTGGTTTCCCCCTGCTGGTCCGTTCTTTGTCATGCCCCAAAGGTGAACCTGTCCTTTCTGGGTCCTTTGGGCAGCTGAGAAAGTTAAAGAACCCCGGTGGTTCCCTTGCCGTTCAGCGGGAAGCTTTGACGCCGAGATGCGGATACCTTCAGTGACACCAGCAGCCGGCCGACGGAGGTCTTGACAAGAGGCCGGAGATGCCCGATGAACATGAAACCAAACAAGCGCATCAATTGGACAAAAAGCAACTCGGGGTACTCCCGCAAATGTGGTAGGACCCGTGGAAAGAGACTCCAAAGAACTGCAACACCTCACAAACCAACAAGGGACTCCAAATGAACAGTTCGAAAAGGACCCCTTGTTGGGTTCCAGGTCAAATTAGCTTGCCTGGGGTACCGGGTTCCTGTTGAGCTGGCAAACTTGCGGAACGCTTTGACCATTTTGAAGGACCGGCCAAATTGATCGAACCTGCGGGACACGGCCGTCAACTCGGGATATTCTCCAAATGAAGCACCTGGTTGCTCTGCTCTCTTTCGGCCCTTAAAAAAAGACAGCCGGAAAAGAAAGTGGGAGAGAGAACTTGCTGGTGGGATAAGGAATGACAACGAGTCCGGGTGTGAATCAACCAGAAGGGCATTCCCTACGAAACTCGACGGGATAGATGGGAGTCATTCCCTTCCCTGAGAACCCAGCAAAAAGGGCCTGGGAGTTCCAAAGGCTGGCCTAGGCTTCTTGAATTTCCCCGAAGGCCGTGAGACCCTTCATTCCGGCTTTGAGAAATGCGAAAATTTGTGCTGCTTGACAAGGACCGACGCCTGGTGTTCTTGTAAACTGGGGTCAAAGTCAGACAAAGTGGCTTCCTACCTACCATCTGGAGGTGACTTTTTCACACTGGGCCAAATACTGGGGCCAGCTTTTCTCTCATCCTTTTGTTGAATTTCTGCACGTCGCCGCGGTTGATCCACATGCACACGGTTTCTCGCGGCTAAACGGAAAATGGCTGTGGGTCAAAAATAGGGTAACCCCAAAATGGCTTGCCCTGGTAAATATAACGAAAGACTAAAACCTGCGGTCCCATGGTGGTTCAATCTTGACCATACAAGTTCCAGGACTTTGCTCGCTGTTTGAATTTGGGCCATTTTAGTGGTAAATCAACAGTGTGGTTCCTTTTCTTGTGCGAAGCCCACCCAACGGAAAGTGAGTTTCCACACCCGACGCCCCCATCGAAGTGCGGTTCCACGGCAGGGCCATCCCCTGTGCCGGAAGAGGAGCCGCAGGCCGAAGTCGAAAAACGCCAAGTCAGGGCTCCGAAGGAAACTCATTCAGCGTTTTCTTGTTTTGCTTTGAACAAGAAAGCGGAGAGAAAAGAAGCGTGGACCGGTAAAAATGGTGATTCCCTTGGCTTCATTCAAGACTATCCAAGAAGCAGACCACCATTTTTTGGAAACCTCCATTTGGCGAGTTCACTGATGTTGGGGGCTAAAACGAGCTCACTAGGAGGTGGGTCGTCTACTTATGGCATCTCGTATTTCAGGCATTAGGCTTTGGCATTTCCGCACAAAGTTGCAGCTTCAGTCAAGATTGCCCCAAGAGCACCAAGCGAAAAAGCGCAATGGGACGGATGATCACCGGGGGGATTCCCCAGCCGAGAACTGGGTGATAGCATAGGGCTGATCTGGCTCGCGCCTCTGGCGTTGAGCTCCTGATTCGAGCTGTGACAGTCGCCCCGAAGCTTCCTCGACTGGTTCTAACGCATTCAGAGTCTACCAAGTCAAACGTAGATCAGGTATCCCGTAGTTGGTGGTTGGGATTTGGATTTGAACCCCTGCTTCTTGTGGAGGATTTGCATCAGAAACCCCCTCCACAAGACCACCAAACCACAGGTCTCCGGCTCCAAACCACCTCTTTTGGGGAAGCTGACAGAGGATCAGCGGCGTTTTTTCCCCCGCCAGGGCGCCGGCACGCCCCAGAGCCAGATGACGGTGTCTCCTCACGAAGGCGAATCGATCGCACCGAGCAGAAAGCTATGGGAAGGCTTGGAGGAGTTCTGTTGGACCAAATCAAGGTCCCCCACTAGTCCCTTTCTCACCAACTTTTTTGGTTGGGAGGGTTCCCCTAAAATTGACTACAGAAAAAAGGGTCCCGTTATTCTATCCTCTGTACTGGAGGACCTAGAAATTCCGCTTCGCAGTTGGTAGCCGGACTAGCCCAGTACTTTGTACGGGGGTCATCCATCTCAACTTGGTGCAGGAGTCTGTCCAACCATGATGCCTTGTAACCCCTATAGGTAGCCCAGCGCTTCTAGACACGAAACTCCAGAAACAAGACAAATCAATACAAACCACCTAGCAACTGCTCCAGAATTTCGCCCATCGGGAGGCGCATTTGCAACCATAACATGTATGACCCATTTCAAGCCCTTCAGCATACACCTCTCCAACCAGAGTGTCGGGCCTTGGGGCTGAGAGCCAAACGCAACTCGCCTTAGGGTTTCTGGTAGCCGCTGGAAAGCTGCAGAAGGCAATCTGAGCAAGCAATACTTACGGCCAGCCACAGAAAGAGGAACTACATTGTGCATACTCACCAACATACCAGGAAGTTGGGGTGCACGAAACTCTAGTGTCGAAGGGATTCGTAGTCACTGGTGTGGAGCACCGTTGGAAAGCTGTCAGCGAGGTGTACGCGCTGACTCGACAACTCAAAACGTTGGATTTCCAGCTTCCCTTATAAAAGACTGCCCGGTGATTGGCGTGACAACTCAAAACTGCTTTGCTTGTTCCAGTGCGCGTTTTGTGGTCAGATTTGAGTGCGGAGGCAGCGCAAGCCGATTGCAAATCTGTTGCACAGTGCTGGCTGCCCTGCTTGGGCAACACACCATCCACCGGCCAGGGACGTGGCAATTGGCCCCAACGGGTGATGTTCTAACCCACCCAAGATACATAGATCTACTCCCTTGAAGCCGTTTCTTTCCTTGCCCGCGTGCCGTTTCCGCAAATTCCCGCGACTTCAGGCACACCACGGGAGGACGAGCGAGGCGGGCCGCAAAAATATTTGGGCTGTTTCACAAGGTGAGCAAGGGGTAAAGCCCATGCATTAGTCAGACAGACATACTTGCATGCATACATACATACATACATACAGACAGACAGACAGACATACATACATACATAAATACATAAATACATACATACATACATGCATGCATGCATACATACATACATACATACATACATACATACATACATGTATATATATATATCTATATATGAGTGTATATATATATATGTATATATATATACAGGTGTTTATTTCAGTGCGTGCGTTTGTTTGGTTCACCCTTTGGGGCTTTGTTTGGGGAGCTTCCGAGACGAACCCAGAGAGGCAGCCCCGGTTTGAAGCACGGGCCACGTGCGCAGAGTGCGTTTCTGATTTCCCGCAAGGCTTGGCAGGTGCGCCCGAATGCACATCCAGCGAAAAAGAATTGTCTAGGTCCCCCAGCTAGGTGCCCTTTTACCCTATTTTTTGGGGGAGGGTTCCCCTACTAAAATAGACTACAGAAAAAAGGGTACCCTCTTTCTAACCTCTCTTCTGGAGGACCTAGTTGGGAATGGCTGGTACGTGGGCCGAGTTGGCTCAAGTTGAGTTGTCAGCCATTCGATGAAGCAGAACTGGACAGGAAGTCAGCCTCCTGCATCTCAGAATGGCGTCTTTGACCTTGGCAAACTTCATGATCGGAAAAGCAAAGATGCCCAGTAGGATGCCAACCCCCCCCCCCCACTCGTGTTTCCCAAAATGGAGACCCAAATAAGGTCGTGAGTGAAGGGGGGAGGCGGGCATCCTGTGCATACACTAAATCTACTTCGCACCAGATGGGGGAAGCATAAACCACTCACCAACTTTCATCCCAATAGCTGTTGATGGACGATTTTCTGCACCACCTACACCCTGGAAGGATGATTCCGACTCCCCTGTAAATACAAACCATGGCTTCCAATATTTCGTCCATCCACAGTAAGGTCCCCTCTTTGGACGGGCCGCCAGGTGAGAAGTTGGTGCGTGCCAAGGCGCGAAACGGGCAGACTTCGCATGGGTGCCGCCTGTGGACATCTTGCAGGCGACATGGAAGCTTTCAACAAGGGTTGAAACCGATTGAAACTATGAAGCTGCGATGGTTTTTCGGCAAGCTTGAAACATGTCGGTTGCATGTTCGACCGTTGGGCCATTTTTGCCTAGTCAAGCATTTATCATTTGCTGAGGCTTTTTGATCCCAGACCCCTGGTTTGTCATTGTGGAGGAGTTGTTGCTTTGAGATCCACTACCCCCAAAAAACGCGGTGCCCTGTTTCCGCGGTGGCTCCAGGGCCTGTCGGCCTGTCAGTTTTCAAGGAAATGGTTACTGGCAAGCGTGAGATCTTGGCTTCTTCTTGGGCAAAGCAACGCATTGGCGTTTGTTGTCCTTGTACTGGTGCCTGGAGCGTCCGGATGAACCTGGTCAGAGTTCTGAACGTTAATAGGGAACCACCGGGCATGAATCCCCGCCTAAATGATGGCCTCCCCAATTAAAACTCATCATTTATTTGACTGCCTGAAGGAATTGCGCGAAACAAGATTCCTTCCTTGCTTTTTCAGGCTTCCATTTTAGTCCAAAAAAGGCTCCCTACAGAAGCGGAGTGCCCCTGACCCCAAAACCGTCCCGAACCAATAAGCATTTCGGCCCCCGTCGCCGAGTCAAAAGTAGGATGCGCTCACCATCCTCGGGAATCCAGCGCTTATTTCAGGTTTGAGTCATTGAGGACTTTGGGATCTCACCCTTTACTTGCTCCAACCCTTTGAAACTCTTAGAACTTGCCGGAGTACGTCCATTTGCAGATGCTTGATTTGTTCCTTTGGTGTCAAATAGAAGAATCTATCACTGGACTCTTCTTTTCTTTTTGCCAGGCGAGCGCGGCGCCTCTTACGCACGTGACGTTTGCCAGGAGCCTTCTCAGAGACCAGGCCACCAACCGCGCCAGGGAGCCTCAGGTTGGAGATCTGAACGGGGAAGCCCCAAAATGGCGCCTTGGCCTGTTGGCTTTCCCTTTGACCCCGGAGTAAACCCCTGTTTGTGAATCCGGGGGGCGTTCCCCTCAGTGATACCCTTCCCACGTTGCCATGGCACCTGAGGGAGGGCACCTTTGGCTGCCATGTGGGCGGGAGAGAGGGTAAATCCCCACCAAAACCGCCGCCACATGGACCCGTGGTCGTTTTGCTCACCTTTTCAGGTGCTACCCCTCATGATAAACCCAACCCTTGGTACAATCGGGAGGGGCCTGAGACTTGGAGCAAACTGGCTCTGAGAAAGGGCAGGTTCTCGAGCCTTCCGCAACCCCTCTTCTGGGATGAGTGATCACTCAACTGGGATTGGTGAGTGTGTTCGTCCTGGTGGCTTTTTAACCCGCAGCCGCCCTTGAAAGGTGGTACCAAACAGCACCGCTCATGTTGGCAACCCCCACGGGATCTTCAACAAACATGACACTAGGTCAAACAACAAAATGGGGTCTCAGGCTCCAATGTTCTTCATGCGATTGTCTAAGTTGCTGGGTTTGTCATGTCGGGAGCCTCCAAACTGGGCAGGTTTGCCTGGAATTCCTGGAAATTCACTCCGAAAAGGTTATCTAGTAAATCGCCAATTCACAGCCCGTGGCCTTTGCATTCCTGAACTATGCACTTCACATGGGGGGCGGCCAACCTGCTTTGCCCACAAGTGCATTCCCAAAAAGGGCCCAAAAAGCCGCGGAGGCGTTGGCTGAGTCAAAGCCTTTCGGGCACACGCAGATGTTCAAGGGAGTGGTCGCACTTTCCACGTCAATGGATAATCAAGAGAAGCTGCAACGCCAAACAAGTCGGCCGATTCAAAGCTGGATGGTTCTGCCCATCCACTCAGTGTTTCGCAGCAACCGCGTGTTCCCTCTGGGGCTTTCAAAGTTCATTCAGACAAGTGTTCCATATATACATATATATGTATTATTTATTTGTTTCCCTGGCTGGGAGAATTGGATTTGATTTGGAGGCCGTCCATTGGTTTCTTTCAAGTCGCAAGCTGGCTGCCTTGCCCTTCTGGCCTCTTGATTCAAAGACACCTCGGGCTCTAGTGCCTATGGGTGGGCCCGAAGGCCATGTCCAGTCCTGGCCCGAAGGCCATGTCCAGTCCTGTATTCAGCTTGGCACTTGGGGTCAGAAAATCGCAGCTATGACTCACTCCCTGAGTTCCGGGACTTTACTTCTTTTTGGGAAGACCAGTTTGGCGGTAAACAACGCCACCCTGACAACCACCCTACATATCACCCTGACATCAGATTTGATGGCTCATGGGAAGCCTTTTAGTGGCACCTTCAGGTCAGCACATGCTGCAAAGGGCGCGTGCAGGAGTCTCGAGCCCAGTTCAGGTTGATCCCTGCCCCCAAAAGCCCGTTCGACAACTGCATCAGTCAGGTGGTTTATGCCTGTTTGTGTGACTCTTTGTGTGGTTCTCCCTTTTCACCGGCACAGGTGGTTGTCCATCCGCATCAACCTTCCGCTTTGAGTTTGGGCTTCTGGGAACTGAAGCAGAAGCATCCCTGAGCGGAGGGGAAATAAGAAGTGTCAGACGAAAGCACCCGTGCTTCATCACGTCAGCGCACATCCAGTAGCTGACAAAGGCCGCAGGGAGCCAGTCTTCAAAAGAGGTCGTGGATCGTTGGGTGTTTGTGCCACTTGCTGCAATCCGCCTCACTCTCATATGGGGAAGGCTGTTTTCACACAATCATGTGTTTGACTGCGAGCCGAAGTTCTGCCAAGCAAATCAACCTTTTGCCATGTACCAGCGCCAAATCTGACCATTTACCGGGCTTGCCAACGTTCAGAGTAGAGCGTAGGTCCTATTTTGGCCCAAAAAGCCGACCCGGGTGCAAAGCTCAAAGTGGAAGATCGTCCACCCCAAGTCATGCGGAAAAAAGCAAAAGAAGACCTCGCAAAGAGGTTTGGTCTTCTGGTCTTCTCGTCCTCAGGCATGAAGGTTTCTAGGATCCTTTCTGTGTTGCCGAAATAAGTCCGGGCGCCATGTCTGCGGCCTTCCATTTCTTTTTGGGTAGACTCCTTGAATACCAGCTACGGGTTTTGCAAATGGCTTCGGGGGGGCCCCGATGTTTTCGACCCCCAACCTGTTTTCCAGGCCCATAGACCAACAGCAGATGTGCAGGTCAAGCAGGCTTGGGATTCAAAGAAGCGAGCTGGCCCCGGAAACGCCGGCTTGACAGGCGGCCACGTTTCTTCCCCTCAGCCAACTTCACAGGCCACATTGCTGCAGCATCCTTTGCCCATCCCAAAACCATCATTGGGAAAGCACTTGATGTGAGGTCCAGGGTGCAAAAACATGTTTTTTTGAAGTCCCCCCCTTGGGGAGTCGCCCTTTTTTTTGGTTGAAGTGATCTCCCCCCCCCTCCCCCCCTCCCCAATATGTATATATATATATATATAAGTATATATATATATGTATATGTACACATATATATATATACTGGGTGGTGCTTTGGGACATTTTTTATTTTTTGCATGGTTTGCAGATGTTTTGGTTGTTTTGCTGTACAAGTGTTCGCTTTCTACGTCAGTCGCGGCACCGTAGCCGGACCCAACATGCTACAGTCTAATTTCATTCATGAGGTGTGACGTTTCAGGATTAGAAGGATCTGGCATGATGTGTTTTAAATACTGATTCTCTTTCAGCTTCCTCTTTCTACAACAGTCGCCCGGCCCCGAAGCCACCTTTACATGCACATGTGCTCCTAAAGTATAATTATACAGTTTAACTCATCTATGTGCAGTTTCAGGGTTAGTTGGTTGTGCCTGGTAGTCGCAGCGACGTGCGCCATGGGCTGATGGCAGCATCGCCTGCAGCCACGTGGCAAGGCCGGACATGGTCGAACGGTTTCGGCATCACCCTTGTCTTAGAGGAATTCTTTGGGCAGCAGTTGTTGAACTAGATTACTCCAATGGAAGTTTAAACGCATTTATTTTTTGTGATGTGAGATGCGCTTTCACGGATTGATCCATTGACAATTGAGTTTTAGTCATCATGCGCTTTTGTCTGATTCAAGGACCATGGCAGTTTGGGCCACATCGCCAAATCCTTCCGCAGCATTTGGCTGACTCAGTAGCATTTTGCTGCAACAGCTCAGGTTCAGGCTTTGTCATGGTGCCTGTGATTCCTGGTGGCGTGCCTGCGCGTAGGTGCTTGCCTGAAGGCCACAAGCTGGGCAGGCTCATTGAAACCTTGGACCACTTGAGGCGCTGCGGGTGGGAGGACTTGGAGTACTGCGGGCCGGGGTCCCTCGCGAGCAAGGCCTTGGGCTTCGCGATGGCCTCCAAGGAGGAGGAGGAGCTGTGGATTGGAGCCACCGTGGGTCACTGCCGCAATGAGCTCGAGGAGCTGCATGTGGAAAGGCCTTTGCGCAGAAAGGACTGGCTGCCCTCTCCCCATCCCTGTGCAAAATGCCACACATGATTCAGCCATAAGTTGGTCCAAACTGTAGACTAAAGGCAAGATGGGGGATAGAAGACGCTGGCTCTGAGTCTGAAGATGCATATTTGTAGACGTCACATTTTACTTGCAAATGTCTGAGGTTATTTCAATGCATCCAGGCTCAGGGTGTTGAGATAGGGCAGCTGTGATTTGCAATGGCGGGCAAAAGTCCACGGTTCCAATTGGCCATGCCCTTTCAGGACTCGCTCACCGCCATCGCGATGACGAAGGAGGAATACGCGGCGAGCTTGAGGGTTGAAGAGGGGGTCCACGGCCACCAGCAATATGAAGAAGTTGCGATTGAAGAGGAGGAATATGAAGAGGTGGAGTGCGAAGAAGACTTAGATGCCGCTGATTCAGATTACACCTCAACGCCGCTTCCCTTTCAGGACTCCTGTTTGATATGAAATGTGCTCAAGTCAATTTAGATCTTCAGCCAGGGGCGCGCAACCCGCTATAATTGCATTGGCCTCGCAAGATGTGTGTAGTTGCGTGAACTCTTGACAAACTCGCCAAGTTTGGCAGCAAACTTTTCGACACTTGGCTTTCTTCAGGGGCTAAGTCTAAGTCTGCTTCCTTTCGTGGTTTGATGTTCAAAGTATTTCAATACGGGCCATTGTGGTTTCAATCCTTGTTTCTATCAGGGGGCCGGGTTCGGTTGAACTGGAGGAGCACGACACGATCCTGCCACGGCAAGGGCCACTTTGGACCCCTCCAAAGGTCAGGGCGATGGACAGCAACGCAGCCACCGCGGCCCAGAGTGACAACAAGAAGGGCAGCAAGAAGGAGCAGGCCCCGATCAAGCCGGCGAATCTCGTGGAGAAGGCTGGAAGCCAGAAGGCGGAGGTGAAGGTTGCCAAGGTGAAGCTGGAGGTGCAGGAAAGCAAAGTGAAGACTGATGAGAAGGCGACGGGATATGCTAGCGAAGGGAAGCCAGACGGAAAGGAGCAGAAGAAGAAGGTCAGCCAGAAGACGAAGCCGGTGCTCAACGACATGGACAGCTTGACCAGCAAGAACAGCGAGCGGAAGGACGCGCCCAGCACGAAAATGCTGGCACACAAGCAGGAAGCCAAGAGCGAGGCCAAGAGCGAGGCCAAGAGCGAGGCCAAGAGCGAGGCCAAGAAGGAGGCCAAGAAGGAGGCGCAGGAAGAGAAGGAGACGAGTGTTGAGGGCGGCAAACCTCAAAGAGCCCCCGCCAGTGAGAAGAAGGCCGCCGCACATGTGGTGGCAAAGAAGGATGATCAGCAGGAGGTGAAAGCCAATGATGTGACTCCAGCTGATGCGATGAAGGCTCCGCAGGCTGACCAGGTGAAGCTGGCCAAGGATGCGCCGCAGACAGGCGCAACGACCGATGAGGAGATTGGCCAGGGCAAGAAGGACAACGCCACGCAGGAGGATGCCAAGGGCTTGACTTTGAACCTGGCAGGCAAGCAGGCAGTGAAAACAAAGGAGGGCAAGAAGGAGGCGAAGGGGGAAGTGGTGGCCAAGATGGAAATGAATGCGCTGAAGAAGGATGTGGCGGCCAGGGAGGACATGAAAGCAGCGAAGGAGGACTCGGCGACCAAGCAGATAAAGGAGGCGAAGAGCGACAACTTGGCGACCAAGCGGGAGGTGAAGAAGGCAAAGACAGAGTTGGCAGCCAAGGGATCGAAAGCAGTGAAGGAGCACGAAGTGGCTAAGACGTACGCGAAAGTGGTGAAGGAGGACGGGGTGGCCCGGAAGGACAAGAAAATGGTGCTGAAGGAGGACTTGGCGGCGGTGCTTGCCAAGAAGGAAACAAAGGTTCTGAAGGAGGACCTGGTGAACAGGAAAGTGATCCCGGCGAAGGCGGACTTGGTGGCCAAGAAGGACAAGAAAGTGGTGAAGGCCGACATCATCACCAAACAAGGCAAAGATGCCAACACGGGCACGAAGGCGGTGAAGGAGGCAGCCAAACGGGACAAGGAAGTCCGGCAGGAGATCATTGTCATTGAGGGGGACTCGGCAGCCAGGGTGGCCAAGCAGGACAAGGATTTCGTGGAGACGATCTTGGCCGCCGAGAAGGACTTGGCAGCGCTGCAAAAAATCCCGGGCAGGAAGATCATAGAAGCGGAGAAGCAGAAATTGGCAGCCACGGCGGGCAAGAAGGCGCTGAAGAAGGACATGGCGGTGAAGAATGACGTCATCAACTTCAAAGACAAGACTCAGTGCCAGAGGAAGGTGTTGATGATGGAGTTGATGGACAATGTGTCTGACATGCTCTTTGTGGCCACGCAGCGCACATGGATCTCGCCGAAGCAGGTGCAGGCGATCAAGGATGTGTGCGTCATGAGGGGCTCTGTGGCAAGGGCCACCAAGACAAGCCTGACTCTTGTTTTGCAGTTGGGGCAAGCTTCTAAGTTGGAGCGGATGTTAACACCATTAGCTGGATGGGTATTACTGTAACTGTATGTGTTAATTCTCCAGGGAAGTCTTTTTGGGGGTAGTGTTAAACCCTGGCATGCTCTTGTTCTTAGTTGTTGTGATTCCATCGCAAACTCGCATCTTGAAACGGCGCCTCAGGAACTCGCAGACTGGGTGCTCACCTGTGTCCGCCAAGATGATCAACAGCGACGTGATGTCGTTGTGCGCAGAGGCCTGCGTAGAGGCCTGCGCCCAAATTCCTCCCACTACGGTTTAAAGCAGTGCAAAACCAACTTATGTTGCGGAGAGGGTTTGGCCAATTTCAGGTTTTCTACTTACATGAGCCAATGTTCCCTGACGTAGCCAGCTATGATTAATAGGTTGCATCCTGTCATTCATAAAGGCAGGAAAGGTGCTTCGTTCATTCCCTGCACAGGAAGATGCCTTCAAGGGGAAGAGGGCGGTGGGGAACCAGCAGTTGAAAGATGC